GTTCAGATTCACTGAAAATTCTTCTGAGTACTTACAAAATTGTTGCAAGGTGAAATGCTGGCATTGTAAACTAGCATATGTAAACACTGGCTGAGAGCATGGCCAAGCTCAGCAGATGCCAAAACCACATTGCCTCAGTAGTTAAGGGTTTGTATGGTGGACACAAGACTGAAATGAGTGTAGGAACTTTAAAATAGTTCTGAAGCACGATGGGTGTTTCATAATGCTCTGTGTAACCTCCTATGATTCAGCACATCTGATCCTAATATTTTGCAGCAATTATAGGATAGACTGGGGACTGTTGTTCCAGTCAGATTCTTGTAATTTATCGAAGTCATGAGTCAAGTTTCAAAGAAAGAAAGTTCAGCTTTTGTATCTGATTATTTTGTTGTTACGTGCTAAAGCCACCTTTTACTCTTAAAGTAATCTGCAATGTTGAATTAACTTAGGCAATGTATGGCATGATGTTTAGTTGTTAAAACATGATTAAACTAAGCTGGCAAATTGATTCCCTTTTTGATTTGTCTGGGTGACGTTGGAATGGCTTCACTGTTCCATTTATTTCTGCAAGGCTGCTGTTGCCTTAGGCTGCCAGTCACACTGTGGGATGACTGCACTGTGTGCCCCTCGATCCCAAATGCAAATGAAGGCTGAACCTCACAAACTACATTCAGTCCTCCAGCTGCCAGCTTGCCTTAGCCTGTGGCTGCTGTGGTGGGAGTGTAGGAAGGCAGTGACTGTGTCTGAAAGGTGATTGTCACCTGTGTCTTCCATGCTAGCTCTGTCTGATGGGAGCTGTCAAGTTTGACGTGTCATGCTCCTTAGGGGCTGTGAGGGTGGATGATCCCAATGGGACCTGGGACTGGCATGGGTTCTATTGGTTGGTTGGTTGTCACCAACTTGTGCTGGCTGGTCCTTTTTACCATTACCTGGAGGCATCATGTGGGCTGTCTGACAGTCAGGAAAAATCTGCACTCCTCTGTACTGACTGTGGAGCTTTCTACAGAACCTTCAGCATTGCTGTTTCTTTGTAGTCTGGGCTGAGAATCCCCTTCTATTTTCAGTTCTACTGTCCCATCAATTCTTGGAGCCTTTTGGGTGGGTTTGCAGCAGAGCTTCCTGTATTATGGCTAAAGGCAAATCTGTAGCAATAGGTATGTGGAGAGAATATATCTGTAAGAGAATTTTAATAATTATGAAAGTTTGTAAAACTAATGTAAGTCAACTGTTGGCTTTTTAAGAGATCTCTGGATGTAACTTTTGCAAAACTATGTAGGCTTCAAGGGTGAACTACAAAATTGCATCTTTCGGGGAATTAATTATAAAATTTCAGCAGTGTGAAAAAAATCATGCTGATCACACTCAGGTAATTCTAAGGGAATGTTGGATGATGAAGACTGCAAAGATCAGTCTCCTGTTTTCTAGTATTGCATACACTTTCCTTTCTAATCCTGTACACATATTTATTATAATGTAAAATATCATCAGAGTATGGAAATGGGATTCTGATAGGAAAAAAAAAAGGCAGGGAGGGGTCACCTGTCGGTAATCCTGAATATGGCTGTTTTTTGGATTTGACTCTGATTTCAGCTTTGTTTTTGGCTGGCAGGTGCCTGGAGGCCTTTCAGTCTGCTTTAGGAAACCTTGTTTTAAAAACAGTAGTATTTTTCTCCTAATTATAAATGCAGATTTTGCATGTGTTTGAGATTTACAAGGCCTTGCTTATGTGAAACAGGCTATAAACTCTCCTTGGAAATGTATAGTAGTCTGGAGTAGATAATTACACTTTGAGAAAAGAGCCTCTGTTTCCAGTGAAAACACTGCAAAGTTATTTCAGAAATGCTCTGACCTCAGACGTTTCATATAACTTACACAAAATGCTTTCACATTTGTTCGGCAGCTCGCGGCTTGATCTCTGCCATCTCATAAATGAAAGCACAGAAGTCTCCCTGGGAAAAAAGCAGCAAGTCTATGCTGTGGCCTGCAAAACTAGTGTTATTTTACTCACTCTGTGCTTTGTGTCTGTACCCTTAAACAGAAGAAACCTTGCCCTCCTTTAAACAAATCTGTCTCCTAATCACACCCCACCCCCACAAACCCAACTTTCCCTCAGATTTTTCTCCCTCCCTGCCTCCACTCAGTGTACACACACTAATAAACTCTGCAGTAAAAAACCTTGGGAGAATTTTGCAGCACAAATAGAAAGAAGATGTCAAAGGCTGAGGATAGGAGTTTTCTGTTTAAAGTTGCAAAAACAATAGAGAACAATTGAAACAGTGGGGGAAAAGCCAGAGATGGGTGAACAAGCCATGAAAGTATTCCATTAATTTTTATTTTGATGGAACCCTGCTGGTTCTCTTCACTTGCATCCAAAAGAGCCATTTTTATTTGCAGTTGTTTGTTTTTCAAGACTCTTGCAGAAAGCAAAAGCATTGCAAATACAAACGAAGAGACTTGTGAGAATGCTTACACCACAAGTGCTTTTGTGGGCTTTTGAAAAGCTGTTTTTAACTCCTGGTACAATAGAATTGTCAGATGTTTATGAAGACTTTTATGAAAAATTTGTGTGCTGGAAGGATGACTCGATAGAGGTGATGGTGTGTGCCACTCAGGGAGAGAAAACAACAAGCAATAAAAACAAAACAAATTCTGATTATGATGTGCACAGGTCGTTTTCAGAAAATCCTGCACAGAAAAATGAGCAAAGAAAGGGAGATACGGTTCAGTCTTATTAAAAAGCATGTCTGGGTATAGATTGTACTTTCAGAGAACTCTTGGCAGAGGAAAATATGCAAGGTAGGGGAAGGGGCCACTTGTGCCCTGGAGATGGCTGAACACATTGGTGGTTCCAGTGGTACCAGGGAGACAGCGCAGTGGCCCTGCAGATCTGGTGGCTGAACCCCTCCTGTGAGCTCTGAGTTGTTTCTGTTCCAGTGAGCCAGCTTAGTTCAGGCAGCTGATGTGATCTCTCCTGTTGTAGTCTCTACCAACAGGAAGAGCTGTGGCAAGCATGCTTCAGAAAAGTTATGAGCCAAAACCCATCAGCAGAGCCACTCTTGGGCAAAGGAACGGCATTGAGCATCTAAATGAAGGCAGCAACAGCTCCCACAAGACAACATTTGTTTACAGCCTCAGTCATGTCAGGTTATCTATAATTTCATGCCTAAGGCCTGAGAAATAGGATTCTGACTGTAGCAGATAGGGGTCATGCTATTTGTACTTTGCAGCAGCAAGATATTCAGAGCCAGTAATGGCTTGGTAATTCAAGGAGGTGGAACACACGAGCACAAGCTCTTCACTTGTGCTTCGCATTCACGGTGGAGAAGGCAGCAACAGCCTGCACTGACTGATTTTAGTTCTTCCCATCTTGCAATTACTGTGGTACTGATGGTATGAGCTTACAAATTCACAAGCTCAGTGGCATGCGTGTGTGAGTTTCAAAGCAGACCTGCTCTACTGTAAAGTCACGTCTCAATACATGTATGTGGAGACTGTAGCTAAAAGCAGACAGTGCTGCACTTAGTTTTCAGTATATATTTATGTGAACTGGGAAAGCACAGTAGGGGTTAAAGTATTATAAAAAAATACATGGAGAGACTTCAAAGGTGCAGCCAGGTTGTATCTATTCATTAAATTGTTTTGTTCAATTTGTTTTTAAAGAGGCCAAGTGCTTGCAGGGCAATGCAAAGTGGGCAGGGGTCATAGTTAATTGAGCAGATAGTTTCCACTCAGCTGTCAGTGAGAACTGTCCTTCCCGAAGGAGATGTGGGGACATCAGGAGGCAGACTTGTTTCTGTGTCCTCTGCAGCAGACAGAAGAGATGGCAAGCCATGGAAGGAGAGGCATATGCTTTAATTCCTTGAAAGATTTAGCAGCAGATGCTCTTCTCTGGCATGCATCAGAAGCCCTTAAAACTAAGCAGAAAATTGGCTACAACAGGGATTCTCAAAGACTTGCCTGTGGTTGATCACATCTTTAATACACAGCAGACTGACCTCCATTCCATTGCATTTATTTGAACCACATGAATTTTTACCAGTCTTGTTAGTGACAATCTTTTCCTGTTCTGCGTGCACCCTCACAAGCACACACACACACACACACACATACTGCCACACACTCTTTTTGTGTTATCACAGTGAACCATGCTGGCTCAAATGGCTTCCTCTCTGTTTACAGTTGCTTTCATATGTATCTCAGGTAATGAAGTTCTTTGTAATGAAACACCTGCATGTCTTTCAGAAAGCTGGAGGTAGAGTCTGCACTGTGTAAGCAGGCAGGTTTTTGCAGACTGATAGCATTTTTACTCACAAGATGCTAACCTGAAAAACTAGTTGTTTAGAAACCTGCTGCTAGCTTTCTGGTGAGTGCTCGATAGAAATGGAATAGGAAAGGACCTCCTATTTGTGGTTCTGTCACCTTACTGTTTGTTGGGTGGTAAGTAACAAAAAGTAATACTCCTGCAAAATCATGTTACACAAAGAGCTCATTTTGCCTAAACACTCTGCTCGAGACTAAACATCAGTATTGCCAAAGAAAGGAATGAAAATCCTACTTTTAGAATTTCAAATCCATTTTTCTTTGGCAATCTAAGACAAGGAGGGTGCCAAAATACATGACAGATTTATATATATTTGAATTTATTAAGTGTACTTGCTAAGAACTTTTGCAGTCTAAGAAAAATTTTATTATCTGATAGTAGATAAACTATTGTCCCTAAGTGAAATCTGTAGATATTTTGCCATTTCAGGCATAGTTCTGCTTGTCTAAGTAGACTGATTCAACACACAGGGTTAGCAAACTATTCAAGAAATAGTGTGCAGTTCCTATTATTAGTACAGTGAAGAAGCCATCTCTGGAATAGCACCGGCATTTGGAGTTAAAAATTATAAAGAAATACCTTGTTGGGAAGAAATTGCAGATTGGCACAGACTTGTTTCTTGCTGTGTCCCAGGGCTTCATCAGTATCAGTAATTAATCTTTGCCTTTGTTTCTTTCAGGGCCCTCCTGGTCCAAAAGGCGAGAAGGTGAGTTGGTGTTCGGGTGATTCTTACAAGGTGACTGGAAAGCCCTCCCAGCATGAACTCCAGAGACTGTTTGTATTGATGCAGTGAAATGTTAGATTATGTAAGAGAGCTGGGTAGCAGACAGATGCTGTGTTAAACCTATCATCTCATCTTTCCACTTTGCAGGGAGATCAAGGTGATCAGGGCCCTCGGGTAAGCATCTTAAAAAAAATGTTCCACTTCCCCTTCGCTGAGTAGGCAATTAGTCTTTAGTGCAAAACTAAATTAAAACACACTGTCTGAGCTAATTATGCTTATTAGCTGCATTTACCCTGCATGTTGAAGTGTCTGCAGGACAGCAATACTGAACGGGAGCAGGAAGTGTCTGGGAAGATTTGAGTGGTTCCATAGTGTACAGTTTCCATTATGGGTGGAAGCAGGTTCCATCCACAGTGATTTTGCTCTGCTGTATAAGGCTGGCTTTCCTAACCAAACCAGTTTCCCCAGCAATGTGTTCATGCCATGCATGGGCTTCCACAATGCAGAGGGCCAGTGGGATTTGATGTAAAATGTAGCTAATATTTAGTGAATTATAAAAAAATATAATGTATGCATGTATTAGCTTTTTTCCTGACATGTATGTATTTAATATTTTTAAAAATAACAATATTATCACCTTGTAGTTACAATCCAGACAGTTAAAACATGATTTAATTTAGGAAATGAGAAGGTTCTTTTAATTTCTAAACGTCATGTTTATTTTAACAGAGAAATAGAGGCATACAGGAGTGTAAGTTTGAACGGATTGGCTGTGCTAGCTCACTCTTCTTTACATCTGTGCTTCATTAGAAAACGCTTGGTTACATTGTTCGAATGATATAGTAACTCTCTTCGCTTACATGTTTATAATTTTTCCCATAACAGTATGTTCCATGGATTATTTTCATTTGTTAACTATGTTAAATATTTTGAATTTGCAGCTTTATTTCATTCTGCTGTTTTGTTTCATATAATTTGATTTAATTGGATTTTACATTTTTTCAGCCAGTAAGATTATCTAAAGTCACAACATGCTTTCACAGCTGATTTTGATGTTCCCTTAACTACCAGGGTGTCCTGGTATGCTTGGTGCTAGGGCTGCACATCATAAAGACAGTGGCCTGAGAGTGAACAGCTTTAAATATTATTTCAGTTGAAACTCAGTAAGAGCTGGAAAACTACTTAAATAAATAAAAGAAAGCAGAGAGTAACAGTGAGAGCAACATGCCTTTTTTCTAGGTAACTAACACACAGACTGAAACTAAAGGTTCTGAATAAAGTAAAAATTTCCTTTTAACTTCTAAGCAAGCTAAGTGTCTCTTAGAGACGGAGGCTGTACATTTTGTCTGGTTCTGTGCTACAGGGTTTCACGGGGAATGTGAGGAGAGATGCAGGGAAGGAGAGCAGTGCCTGTGGCTTAGGAAGGGATGCTCCATTCAGGTGGCCTAAGACAGGCTCGTGTGTAAGTGCTTGCACTACGTGGCCTTACATGCAGAAGGTGGCGTGTTCTTACATTCACAGCTGTGTCTGTAGATCCAAAAGAACAGGAGAGCAAATTTGATGGAAGTATAAGAGAGGGATGCAATAACAAATGGGGAAGATCAGTGTTTTGAAGAGCATTACATAGCTGAGGATAAGAATCTGGAATTACGACTGTCAGAGAAGTTTTCAGGGAAAGACCCAGAGGTCTTAATGCCGGAGAACAAATGAAGTGGTATCAATGCAAGGGAATGATGACGCAGAAATCCTGGAAAAATGTTGAAGAGCTGTAAGAACTATTAAGTGGTTAAGCATATGTGGCTTTCAGTGCCTGGTCTGGAAGTGTTGGCAGTGCCCAATAAGAAGATGCAGGTTTGGTCAGTGTTACTGCAATGGGACCTGTGCTGTGCAGAGACTGTTGTGTCCTGTTTTGCCAAGACATACTCCGTATGCAGGAAGGCAGTAGAGTCCTTACTGAGCCACACAAATAATGTTTATGACTATTTGTGGGTTTGGTAAATCAAGTGCAGATAAAAAGCAGAAAATATCCAACCTGAGGAATTAATATATAAGGACATCACAAAGTTGTATATGCAGCTGCAGTTGGCACTTGAGACTGAATTCTGTATCTGATTACAGAAAAGGAATTCAGTAAGGTCAGCAGTGGAGAGGAAGAGATGGTAACAAGCATCTTGTGGACAAGCTGAAACTTTACCAACTCTTTAGTCAGTGCAGGTTGTAGTAACATACCTCCTTTTTAAGTATATGGGTTAAACTCGGGAAATTTTCCCAGTATTGTTGGTTTTCCCTTAATCTATTTTGAATGTGTTGTACAGCCTCTTCTCCTTTTTTTTCCCCCCTACTTATTTCACAAGTAATAAATACTATGAAGCCTCTGACCATTTTATGTTTCATGGTACAGCAGTTACAGTCTTCAGGGTGAGTCTGCTCAACCTGCTGTGCCAGGGGATTTACAATATAATTAATAGAATTTTTATGTGTAAGGCACTCATGCACCAAATGAAACTAAACCCATTTAGTCCTGGTTGGTTACCTTTGCACATAGTTTTCCATCACTGCCTGTGTAAAATAAATGGGTTTGGAGGTAATGGCATACAGTTTTATTTTTGAGAAATATTATACCTGAAAGTAACTGGGGCATGACATTAACACTTGGATTTGACAAGTTTGCAGACAGATTGGATATAATATCTAAGAGCAGTGAACATTTTAATGCTAATTCATCTTTTACAGGTATGGAGCCTGAAGTTTCTTTGGGTTAATACTTTTACATACCCGCTTGTAACAAGTTTTTAACTTAACAAAAACTGTTAGTGTTCCCAGCTATGTCTGAAATTTCAAAATTACTCTTTTGAGGTCAAAGATACTGTTTTCTGTCCCACCCAAGTTTTTTCACCTTGAGATTTTTGAGTGATCTTTCTTTCTGAAATAATTTCAAAACCATAAAAATAGTAACCAGTTATCTCAAAATTTTCACAGTCACTGGACATGTAGAATATATACGGAACTGCTTTGCAAGTTTTCTTGAAAATACCTTCAATAAGGTCATACACTAAGAACTCAGCCCTGCAAATACCACCCAGAGGCCAGGCACTTATATTTTTAGAATAATGTGGCTGGGTTTTTGTGTGGTTTTGTTTGGTTTTTTTTTAAGTATCTGAGGAGTTTTCTTAATTATTCAGAAGTAATCTGTGGATCAGACTCCGTCATTGTGCAGAGATGGCATAAGGGTTCTAGTTCATAATGCCATGTGGCTTGATATAGCAGTGTCCATACTGCATAGAAAATGTGAGCCAAAACACGTTCTAGTAGTGTGAGTGATATAGAAATTAATACTCTGAGTTTGAGCAGCAAGTTAATACAGCTTTTAATCACATGAAACCACCAGTAAGGTAGTGATGGTGAGTCCTGATCTTATTTGGGAAAAAAATCTTTTTTTATCTCTTTATGTATTTTTATATCAGATTTCTAATTACACTAAAGTTCTGGTTGACTAAACATTTAGGTCAAATGCAAAGCTAGCTTTCCTTCATGCCAGTGTAAGAAATGGTAATGTTAGTATGTCTTTTGGATGCTCTTCTTTTTTCAGAGGGCATGGCTTCATGAAATGTCTATGAAGATTTGCTTTACTGTGCTGAGCCATGAGAAAATTAAAAATGATGGAGTTTAGCCTGTGGACTGTAGGAATAAATGGTGATATCAGGCTGCTCAGCTCCAGTTGTTCAGCTCTAGTCCAGTAAAAAAAAGCCTTTGAAAATTTCGTAATGGTAGGGTTTCAAAGCATAGATTGTCCAAGTAGCGATTGCATCTTGAAAAACATGAAAATAAAGAAAAATATGAAGACCTATGAAAACAGGTCTTCAGAGGTGAATGTATTGGAACAGAACAGCTAGTACGGAGTGTCTTATTGGATAGGGAGGGGAGCTTTGTAATCAAGGATGAGGAAAAGGCTGAGGTACTTAATGCCTTCTTTTCCTCAGTCTTCAACAGAAAGACTAGTTGTCCCAAGGGTAACCAACCCCCTGATCTGGTAGACAAGGATAGGGAGCAGAATGGACCCCCTGCAATCCAAGAAGAAGTAGATAGATGTGCTGTGCCACTTAGGAACTCAGAACTCTCTGGGGCCAGATGGGTTCACATGGAGGTACTGAGGGAGCTGGTGGAAGAGCTCGCTGAGCCACTCTGCATCATTTATCACCAGTCCTGGCCAGCTGTGGGGGTCCCAGATGACTGGAGGGTGACCATGTGACACCCAGCTACAGGAATGGTTACAGGAGGATTGAGAGAACTACAGGCCTGGCAATGTGACCTCTGTTCCAGGAAAAGTTATGGAACAGATCATCTTGAGTGTGATCATGCAGCGCCTACTGGACAACCAGAGATTGGGCTCAGCCAGGATGGGTTTAGGAAAGGCAGGTCCTGCCTGGCCAACCTGATCTCCTTTTATAACCAGGTGACCTGCCTAGTGGATGGGGGTGATGCTGAGTTGAAAGTTAGAATCAATGATCTTGGGGATATTTTCCAACTTTAGTGACTCTATGATTCTTAGTCTTTTCTCATCCTTCTGTAAATGACATTATAAACATCTTCTGTCCTTTAGTTCAGATACATGAGAGATTTCTTGTTTATCAGGGCTAAAAATCATTAGCTAGAAGCTGGTTTTAAATTGGGTTTGGTCTAGGTGAAATGAGATACCACCCAGAAGCCATACTTAAGTATTTTCATAAAATGATTTTTTTTACTTTTGGTATGTTTCAGTAAATTTTCCAGTTGGCTGGGGTGGCACAGAACTGATAATATCTCAAAAATATATTAAGCAGGAAAGATGAAGTTCTAGAAAAGACAGGAACTCGGAAGTTTATTTTATTTTTTTAACCTTTATTGACTTGAAGATTAAAAACATTCCTTGAGTCCTGTTAAAACAGTTAGGTTCTGATAGAGATATAATGTTCTTTTCAAGTTAACCCTTTCCTCTGTTTGCTTTTTAACATACTTGTTACTTATTTGCTTCCTGGTAGAGAGAAATCATTGCTTTGCAAGTTCTACTCTTCTGTGCTGACAGACTATTTCAAAATTACCCAGTATCTCCAGAAGTAATCCTGGAAGCAGTGTATTTACTGAAATAACCAAATACAAATGTATATGTGTATATATAGACATATCTCTCTTTTAAA